GTTGGCAGACAGTGGTGGTGCAGCATTAAAATCACTCATACGCACCGTGAGCTGGGGAAAAGCGACTAACATCAGCTCTTGTTGCCAGTCGCCGGTTGCCAGTTGCCAGTTGCCAGTTGCCCTGGGAGCAGCATTAATTGACACGTGATAATTTAATTAACGGCGGCTCCAAACGTGGCCAGAGCTAGTGCTAAGCGTCATCATCATCATCATCACCTTCATCGCCAACACCATCGATGGCAGCAGCAGCAAAACGAAAGCTAAGGAAACATCGCAGGCTTTTTTTCCCAGCGAGTCTGCTAATTGGGTCAGCTTTGAGGTCTGGGTCCGGGCTTGCCCATCATTGTTTGCGCATTGCCATTGGCCACAGGCGCTACCATTGGCGTGGGCCTGCCATGGAACGCAGCTCTGTTGAGTGTCTTTTAATTACAGTGTGCGGCGCTTGTTGGCAAAAGGGATTTTCTTGTTGTTTGCCGATGACGCACCGTCACAGTTTTCCACTTCGCTACGTTTCAGAGCAGCAATGTATGCAGAGATAATTGACATCAGTTCAACGTCGAACAGCGCGTTTCAGACCTTCAGCCTCCTTCCACCACATTTATCATAAACTACATGTGCCTTGAATCAACTTAGCGTGCCACAAAACTTGAGTCTGTTGTCTCCAACGAGTTTGGCAGCTGCGCCAAGCTCCAGCTATATATCCTTGCGCAAGCTCTCCGAGCTTAATGACTATACGAAAATGGGCAATTCACTGAAACTCATTTGTATTCTTTGAATATACTCATTTTAAGTAGAAATCCTTTTTGTCGCATACATTTTTAACACTTTTACAGGCTTCTTTTAACATGGGCAGCCTTATTAATACTGATGGCTATTCTTCTTCCCTATAGAAGATAAATTCTCAGAACTAATAGTCTGTCTCTTTTCATGGCGGAATGGACCACTTGATAATATAGTGCATAGTGTAGTGTTCTCATCAACATCGGACTACTATATCAGACAGTACGAATATTTATTGTAAAAATTAGCAAATAAAAGTACACATTTAATGCCTGAAGGGCTGCTATTGTTATTGTTGCCATGCACTTTTGATAACTATATTTAGTTATAATGGCACCTGAATTGCTTTTCTAGTTGGTTTTTGTTGTTGCCACGGAAAGCTCTAGGTTGAGGTCCGGTACTTTAAACTTTTCGCCCCTCATTGTAGGGCAAAATTATATCAAGCGCTTAAAACTTGTTATTATTTTTATGGTGGCCGCTAATTCCTATGCTCACGCAGCTTAAAAGGTTACAAGGATTACGCAATGCTCGCTGCAGCTGTAAATTTAAGTCAGCAAACACATTTTTGCGGCACTTAGATATATTAAAACATAAATTGTGACTCTGATGGCTGGCAGAGATTCTATATGGGGCACTCGAAAGCCTTGATTAGAAGGCGTCAACTCTTTATACGCGTTGCTTATCCATTGCTGCGTCGTTTTTAATAACCTTAAGCTATATTTATGCGATAATGCGTATAAACTTTGTCAACCAGCAACAACGCGCAAAAGTATGCTATGAATATTGACCTAGTTCAACAGTGGGCTTGAGTAGAGGAAATTTCAGAAAAATTTCAATCAATAGAGGTTTTCAAAAAACCTTTTATGTTATCAAAAGTTGAGCTTGACGATTTTTATATTTGCGCAAACAATTAATATAAGCAAACTGGTATGTTCGATATAATTAAGGTCATTTTATTGTTTTTTGCCCACTGTGCTGCAATGAGTCAAATGGGCTGAGTCGAAGTTAAGTGCCGCTTGAGCCTTTTTAAATATAGATGCTCAGTGCAGCTCACATAAAAATTCTCGTACGCATCATTGCCAACCAGCTTGGCAGCTCACGGTTCGTCCTTCGTCCCCACCCTCCACATGCTCGTTGCCATTGTCAACTGACAATGCCGCTGGCGAATGTGTTTAAATTTCCAAGTGCTGGCTGGTTGCACGAGCCAGAAACGAGATCGGGTAGTGTGGCAGTTGCAATGCAAATATTAATAGCACAAATTTTCTGTTGCAAAACAGGAATAATGCGGATACGTTCCACATGCGTCTGCCCGTGCCTGTGTTGTGTGCGCATTCAGACTATACAAGTAAATAGCAGTGTGTGTCATTTGTTGCCGATTTCTAGAGATGCGTAAGTCAGGCACGTCACGTCGGAATTTACTATTGGAAATGTATGATATGAATCTTATTGAGCTGCATATAACAGCCAGCAACTATTTCTTAGTTTCGATTTGTTTGTTGCCCTTTGCTGCATCGCATTGATTTCCGACTTAGCAACTTTGCTGCAGAATATGTATAAAATATGGTCGTTAAACACGACACGCGCACATTTCTATCGCTTTTCTTTGTGTGTAAAACTCAAACAAAATAAGCGGCATGTTAAAATTGTATGCGTATTTATTTTTTTTTTTGTGTTGCATACGATTCAAATTAATAGAGTTGTGCGCTGTGTTTACACTTGGCACATACTGTTTGTGTTCTTAATTTGAGTGCAACATTTTATATCCTATATATTTATATTTTGTTTTATTAATTCGCGTATTTGCATGTTAAGCGTATCAATATTTGCTTGCCTTTAAATTACAATGGTGTTTAAATTCGTTTAACAGATGACAAGTTTAAGAGTCGAAGTCCTTTATGCAAGGGAGTTCGACCGAAAGTTATCATGAGTCACAACTTGCACACCACACTATTTCATTTGTACATAAATAATAAATAAACGAATTTGATTGCGAGAAAAGCTAAAATTTTATATAATTAATACGGATAAGATAAATGAGTTTCATAGGAAATTCTAGAATTAGGGATCAAATAAAATGCACCTAGTAGTAGAGTGTATCTAGCAAGTCAGTTTTTTATTAAATTAATATCTGACGAGAACTAGAAAATTAGCCATTAAATGCAGACCACTAATAAAAATCAACCAGCAAATCCAGAGCAGAGGAAAAAGAGACGTGCTTAATAAAGGCTGGCATATGGTTTAATGCATGCCAGCATATGGTAATGAAGTGCCACAGTCTAGAAAAATGACTAGCACTATTAAAATTTAATTAAATTTGTTGAAAGTGGCATAATGAAGGCGTGGCAACATGTGCAGTTAACGACATAGACATCTGCATATGCAGCTGGTATAGAGCAAAAAATAATTATAAGTGAAATATTAATTTATATAAAATAAAATTCAGTGTCCGAATTTTATTGACTGACTGTTTAAATAAGAAACAATTAAAGTTATCATTAGTCAAAGCTAATCCTTAAGCTATGATAATGCGCCTAAATGCAGCCTTGTGGAAAATCCTCATTAATTACTAATGCCCAGCTCAGTTGACTTGCCAAGCGTCCAGCGTTGCGGTTGCTTGATTAAATTTTAGCTGCAAGTGGTAATTATGACACCTCAACACACTTGACCCACACTCGACACACACTCGACATACATACGCACACACACACACACAGGGCAATAAGCCAATGCAATTGGATGAGTTGTCATTAAGTAGACGAGCGAAGGCTACGTTTGAAATATTGCGCAATCACACATTAAATAATTAAGTGCTTAATTAAATGGTGACCAGGAAAATAGCCAACAACAAAAGCAGCCTGTGGAAGGCAATACAATATCCTGATTGTATTTTAGTCTCTCTATCCCCCTCCCTCTCTCTCGTTCACGCTCTCGCTCTCGGCCTGTGGTGGGCAGGCCTTCAACTAATTTTTGTATTGTATTTCGTGTGCTAATGGCGCATACAAATGCGAAAGGTTAGCAGATAGGATGGATAGAAGGACGTTATCTGCGGTCATCTACTACTGAAATGGAAATGAAAATGAAAATGGTATGGCATGCACATCACGTGCGACCTCAAATTTGTAATGAAAATTAAATAAGAGTCAGATAAATGACTGAAATGGCGGCGTTAGTTGCTAGTTTGGTGGACAGCCTGTTGAATGCCTCGTGGATCCGCTCATTAACTTGTATAACAATTAGCCCCAAGCATTAAATGTACGATTATTGATGTTCGACGGGGAATAGGTGATAAGTCTGCGAAGTCAGCTAATGACTGTAATTAATTATAAGCGACACAATGAAAAGCCCATCAGATGCAGGTGGACACATAACACAGACATACTGATACAAACACAGATACATGTACAGATACAGAATAAAGATACAGACACAGTTCCGGATACAAATACGAATAGACACAATTTCAGGTACACGTACAGGTACATATACATATACAGGTATAGATCCAGATACTGTTATAAATAGAAATACAGATAAAGATGAAAATACAGATACGGATAGAGGTACAGGTACATGTAAAATATACGGAGCAACATAAATACAACGATATTCAGATACAGATATACATATACATACAGACACAGCTACATAGCTAGAGATGCAGATACATATACACAAATACCTAGATGCATTAATACATAGATACAAAGATATATAGATATATAGATATATAGATATACAGATATATAGATATATAGATATACAGATATATAGATTTATAGATATAGATATATCTATATATAAATTTATAGATACATAGATATATACATAGATTTATAGATTTATAGATAAATAGATAAATAGATGTATAAATATATAGATATATAGATAGATATATAAATCCATAGATTCCTAGAAACACAGATCCAGATCCAGCCGGCCCAGCCAAAAGACAGTAACTTGGAAAGATTAACAGATACATAGATAGACATATACACACACAGCTACACGGATACAGATACAGATACAGAGACAGAGTCATCGACGGTTACAGGGGCAGTTATATATACCTTGAATTTATTGTTTTTTCATATATTCCATTGGATTTAAACTTTTCTGATATGTACACGGATATTCAAACACCATCTGATTACTGTCTCTTAAAATTTTGAAGATTTGCAGTGTAAGACAAAGACTAAGATATACTGTTGCATCGATGTGATTCACTTGAAGACCATCGAGCTGCGGTTCAGCGAAGATACCGTTGAGGAGCTTGTATTTGAGCGCGGTTTTCTGGCTTTTGACACTGTGCCCGAGGTGGCGCGTCTAACAGATCCCTTGATGCGTGGCATACTGTCCTTAATGTATAGCTCTTGTACCTGTTCCAGTGCTTCCTGTAGCTCCCTTTGACTGCTATGTCGGATAGGCGGATTTTTCGGATCTTCGTAGATGATGAGTTCTATGGGTATGCCGAGCTTGTTCAGCTTCGACTCCGCGCTGGGGCCTGTCTTGCTCATGCTCATAAAATCATTGACCTCCGTGTCACGCAGCAACAGATAGTTGTCCTCATTGGGTAGAAAATCGCTGGGATTCTGGTAGTGAGTATAGTCGCGCACCACGCGAATAACACTGCGCGAGTTCAGATAGTAACGATCGTAGACAGTCAGTGTGTAGTAGATCTTGCGAGTTGTCTTGGGTGCGACCAGCCAAAAGACATAGATGCCGGCCTTGTTGGCATTAATTGAGACCAGTTGGCGCTCCAGCTGCTTATCCTTGAGCTGGGCATACCAGGTGGTACGGCAGACCATCAACATTATGGGCAGATAATTGTCGAACCTGTGGTGATCGTTAATAAGCGCTGAGTTCGGATTGCTCAGATAGCTGAGGCCCGGTTGCGTCGACGGCTTGCCCTTCACTCCTCCGTACAGGAGCGTGGCCATGCAGTTGTTAACGCCGTGCTCGTAGCCTGTCGGATCAAAGCACATGACCAGCGGCTTGTGCTCATAGATCTCAGAGTTCGTAGTGCCCAGAGTATACATATGCTTGTGCAGCATGTGCATCATCATATTTGATGGGAATACTATCTCGTTGCACCTGCCAACAGGACAGCTACCGGGCACCCGGGACAGATGTCGTACAGCTTCTTGCAGTTCAAGATTTCTTTGTTCGTTATCCTTGGCTTCCTGCAACTTCTTTTCCATTTTCATTTCAATTTCCTCTTGCATCTGCTTTAGCGTTTTCTTATCTTTCGACATGATGACTGCTTGAATTTAATTTAATTATCATACCTTAAAAAAAAAAACACAAATATGTGAACTTTGAACGTTTTTTATAACTCAAAAGTGCTGAAAGTTGACTGAAGGATGGGGCGTGGTCAACTAGACTTTCCAAGTAGATATTATCAATATCTTGAATTTATTTTTATATTTTAGCCACGATTGCTAAAGGTGAAATTCAATTGAATTGAACCGGAGAAATCTGTAGCCAATAGACTGTTAAATAAGTTAAGCAAGTCATCTCTGACAAGTTGAGGCCTCTGCTTGTAGCGGTTCGCTTTTCGGCGCCTTGTCATTTGTTGTTGTACATTTTATTTTTCTCACTTTGAAGAGTCAAGTTTTGGAAAGAATGAAATGAAAATTGGATTGGACTGCGAATAACAAAAGCAAAAATGCTTGGCATTCAAAACCATTTAGGGAGGTGCGCGGGTAATGCAAAAAGTTTGCGCATAGTCGGCAAACAGACACCAAGCTGAGCACTTTAATTTAAACTTTTGGCCGCCCGCAAGTTTTTTTGGGACAGATACTAGAAAGATTGTTCGTTAAATTAGACGAGTATGACAGCAAATTATTACGCTTGCTGTTGTTGTAGCCAGTAGCTTTGGCCTTGGCTTAGAGCGCCTAATTTTGTTTGGGTCTGGGTTTGTTCCAACAAAAAGGGTCGCGCGCATTACCAAAAAAGTAAATTAATTGCTTCACTAATCGCCTTTGATTAGCCAACAAAAAATATATATATATATGTATCTGAAATGTATATGAAGGTATATATCAATAATGTTGGCTTGCCTGCAAGTGGCTGCTAATGCGTCTGGTAATCGCATTACTTCTTGTGCGGGAATCGTGTGCGTGGCCCGTATCCCACTTGGCCTGCACATGTCCAATTTTGATGTGGGTGCGTGCCACCTACATCTCAATTTGACCACAAAAGCCGGCACTCTAATGCCATCAGCTGCAAAAAAAGGTCGTGTGCTGCCTTTTTAAAAGCAGGTTCAATTCGCTTAGCTCGAAAAGTTCGCAACGGAATTCAATTCGCAATATTTTGCCCCAACACACAAATTACACGAGTCTCAATAGTTTTTTTTTTTTTAGTGTCATGCGCGTCGCATCTAACTTTATCGACACTTTGAAGTGAGTTCAAAAGGTGCATGTCTAATTTGGGACTTGCCTCTCTATCTTTGACAGCTCCGACGCGCCGGCCGTAAAATTGAGAGTTGCCCACTTTTGGGATGCACACGCATGGAAAAAATTTAAATGGGAACGGAAATGGATACGGGCTAAAAAGAGGAGAAAAAATGCCATTGCTGAAAAGGCAATTTAAGACAAGTCAAGTATGCTGAAATAGCAGGTGAAGCATTTTAAGAATTTTTCAGCTGACAATTTGCATATTGATGGCAAATACTTTGAGCAAAAGTAAAATGCATAAAGAAATGCCAGCAACATACAAATTAATCCCAATAACACAGCAACAGTTGGACAAGTATTGTGTTGACTGTTTTTATTACATTTTATTTGATCAAAATATATTAAATTATTATTTTGCCTGTTTCTATTGGCTCTTAGAAATAGCGAGCTTGAAATATTTTAGACAAATGCATTTGAAGAAAATAAATGTTGTTAAAATAAGAGATAGTGATAAGCTAAACATATTATAATTGGTTTCTAATTGACGTTTTACTTCATTTATTTGAGTAGAACAATATTTCAACTATTTTTGGACCAATTTGTGTTGACGATTAAAGATACGTTTAATTATTATCCCTGACGTGCATGCATTCAGTATATTTGACACGGACATTAATCAAAAAATGCTATGGACGACAGTGAAGCTTTTACATGTGACACACTGACAATGGGTTCAATCAACGAAAATATTGATTGACATATCAATTTTGAGCAACAAACTAATAACATCAGGCACTGACAAGCAGATGAGTGCGAATTGGAAAAGCGCATTTCGCGCAAATTACGCAATAGTAAAGAGTGTATGATGTGCTTGATCTGTTTGAAGAACCAATGCACAATTACCCAACAAATCATTGAGTTTCGCGGTAAATTTGTCGACATTTTATATGAACTGCAGTGCCAGTAAAATATTCTCATTTGCATGTGAACACAAACGCAAACGCAAAAGCAAACACAAATGCGAGCACAACTGGCAATACAAATACAAATACACAAACATTGCTTATACACACAAACACAAACACAAACACAAACAGACACTCAGACTCCACTTAATTTGTTAATAGATGCGGCTCTACGAACTAAAGTTGTTGGCATACAAACCAGACCCATGTCGGTTGCCAATTTGAAGTTGATTTTGAAAATCCACTTTGGGACAGAACATCGTGCAATGGTTTGTAAAATTCGTTGAATGGATGCAAATGAGCTGCAATCGAGCTCACATATGAAAGGACTCATAAAATGTTACAAATACCCAAACGTACGATTTGATAATGATGTACAGTGGTTATTAGTTTCTATTTTGTGTGCCACCGAAAAAGCAAAGCCTGATATAAGTCTATCAAAGGGTATTAAGCGAAATAAAGGTTCAATGCGCACATGCCTTTATTCCGTTGCAGTTAGTTTTTAAACGAATAAATGAAAAATTAAAAGTTAAAAAGAAGAGGAATGTTGAGAAAAGATATCATTGAAGGTGAGAGATGGAGAGAAGATTTGTGTGACACATTCTGTCGGATAATCAATAAAACCAATCACTTGTTCTTAAGGAATTATATTTATTTAATTGCCGTGCGAGCGAAAGATGAGTCGACATTGATGCACGCCCAAATGCTCCATCATGAAGTTATCTACTTCATCGTTAAGCACAGACACGTCTCTGTAAATGTTATGGCCCAGATCCACTTGAAGGCCAACATATGCAGGCAAACGATGATAAATGATGACAGAGATGCCGTTAATGCAAAAGAGAGTACGAAAAATTCAAAAAAATCAGCTGACCGATAAATATGCTTTCGCTTAATATGTATGTCTATACGCCTATGTTGTCGCCAGAGCGCGTGCTGACCCCCAGGCAAAGGACCCAGAACATGTTCGTATTAAATTCAACGCAGGCGTCGGCCTGAACATCATTAATTTTCTTATAAGCATTATGAAATTTATTATTGATTTTACGACGGAAATTGTGCGTGCCTTCAGATTTGGTTTCCTTTGATAAAATGGCGGTGCGGCATTAAAGCAACTTTCCATGCGGCGTATACGTAATATGCACGAAAATAATTTTGCAAACGTTGTTAATATTTGCACATATATAAATGCGCCTAATTGGCTAAATTATGTGCAGGCAAAAAAGTGTGCATGCAGCAGAAAGTCAGCCAAAAAGTGTCTAAAAAGTGCATGCACAATATATACGAATTGCAGATACCCTAAGCAAGCGAACAGCGAAACATAAAACCAAATAAAATTATTCTCTAAAAAGAGTTTATAAACAGTTATATACCAATGTTTTTATTGTAAATATTTATTTGGAAGTTATTGTTTTTAGAGTGTTAATATAAAATATTTTAAGAGCTTTGCTGCAAATTTTAAATACCCCTTTGCGGAAAGATATTAGTGGAAAAAGAAAAACGGGTAAAGCTCGTGGCTAAAAGTGCTGCCAATTGCAGTCGAGCTGTGGTGTGCGGCTTTTGGTTAGCGGGAGTGAAGCGGCGTTTAATTTAAAATGAAATACATCATACTGGCCAATTATTTCAGCAATTTTGCAAATTAGTGGCCCGGACAATTTCAGTTACCCAAAAAGCGACCAATTATCAAGCAAGGGTGTGTCTCTATCTCTATACGGGTGTGTGTGTGTGCAAATTTTCGTAGCACACTTTTTTGCAGTTGGCGCTAATTACAAATGGGAAAAAAGTAATTGCAAAAGTTAAAACTGGCAAAGAGAATCGGGCCACAATACAAGGCTAACAAGTGGCCATTGTCTATGTCTCAAGGGTCCAGGCAAACAATATATGACACAAGGGCCAAACGCATTAACACAAAAACAATTGTTAAACTGACGAAGGGTTAAATCAGAATGTGAATGCAAAAAAAAAAAAAAAAAACACAAAAAACAAAAGAGGAGTAAAAGGTGAGCCACATACAATGAAATTTTAATTAAGTCTGAGTCGGTTCGCTTTTGTGCTGATGCAGCCAAATGAAAATGCCACTGATTATGTGCATGTGTGTGCGTGTATGTGTGTGTGCGCCCGAGTGTATCTAAAATGTTGGCACACATGTATGTGCATACATATTTTGTTTACACTTTGCTTTATGTACTCTTACTTTTGTGTGTGCTTGTGTTTGTGTTTTGTTGTGTTTTGTTCTGTTCTGAATGGCTGCACAAATACAAAACGTCTGCAACTTTGTGTATGTCTGTGTGTGTGTGTGTGTGTGTGTGTAAATGTGAATGTGTTTCGGTCTCTGTGCAACATAAATGCATTTGTGTAATTACACAACAAACACAATTGTATCTATATCATGTACTTTGTAGCATTTTAGCCTTGTTGCCATTTAAAGCCTTTCTACTAATTGAAGTAAATGTGCTAAAGACCGTAAAACCTTTGGCAACCAGAAAATATCGTAAGCATTGCTTCTAAATTCAGCTCATTAGCCAATTTCCCACAGATTTTGTTGGCTTGATCGCATTTCCACAACTATTTCGAATCAACATTTGTGGCTATTTAAAATATTCAAGATATGTTCAGGAGCCACAAGGCAGATACAAATGAATTTTGAGATTTTGTATATAACCAAATGATGTTTATTGGAGATTTTATTTGTGGGTGTTGAAATTGTAATATTTGAGGAAAATATTTGGTAAGAAATTACCATTTGTCAAATTAAATTAGAAATTCTTTCGAACTTTAAGGCCGTTCGAAATTTAAAGGCAAGCAAGCAATTTAAAAGCATTTAGAAAAGCGTTCAGC